AAGACGATTCTCCATGTTATTTTTAAGATGGTGAGGTTGATGATAGAATTAATATTTCATTACTGATCCTTGACATTATCTATAAAGATTCAAATTTAACTAGACTCAATTTTAAAATGCTGATTTTTATAATTATTTAAAAAATAACCTGTCAAATATAGGAGAAAAAATATGATGAAACTGCAACGTAATTTTCCAAATTCAGTGCAGTGTAGTAATATGGCATATTTTCAATGGCATAGCAAATTGACATTGGTTACATTAAATTAATTCACAAAAACGTTATAAAGTTTCAGTAGCCTCAAATTTCAGTCTTCATACGATTTCACAAGACAGCCTTGGCATGGAAGGTCCTATTAAATAAAATTAATATTTTCATGTCATGCAATGAAAGTGAAAGCAAATAAAATGACAAAATTTAAATATTTTGTTGATATTATTAATCATTCCTTAAATACAAATTACATTCTTCGAACTTATAGGTCAAACACTAAGGATGACATTGGCAATTCTATATAAAAAATGTGGCTGATGTGAATACTTGTGTTTCTTATTTTGTAAAAATGTGAGAGCTGGACTTGAGGATGAGTACCTTTGACCTCCAATGCCCTTGAATTCAATGAACCTATATAAAATTGGAAGATGGAAATTAGACTGTGTTACTTTAAAATACACTTAAGCATATTTATGTATACTATATTGTACTGTACTATACTATACTGTAGTATAATTACTTTATAGATTCAAGTGTCATGGATTTCCCTAAATATTTTTTTTTTTTGTAAAGGGGCTACAGCCACACGACTGGGGAGGTAATAGGCTGACAAATTCTAAAAGGTGCATTATATAAAAGATGAACACTACTTTTTTCTGAAATGGGAATGTATTTATTGAAGATGCCGTTATCTTTAGCTTAGCTGACGTGAGGATGGGTGTTTGTGGCCAGGAATGAAACGAGAGTACATCACTCACCCAGCAATCAATCAAACCCACAGATGTGTCCTGGCTGAGCTCACCATCTCAGTCACCACGCTGTCCAATGAGTGATCAGGGAACATGTATTCTAGGAAATGGCCTTATCAGTAATGTTCAACTATGATCAGGCACGTAACTAGTACATTTTATAGTGATTTCATAAAGCTGATGGAGAAATACAAGAAACTTAAAACGTCAGAGTATAAATCAAAGTCCCTCCACAAAACCTGATTCATAAACAGAAAAGGTAAGAAAGTACTATTCAGCAGAACTGTCTAATTTTTAAAATCCATGTGTTTAGAGAAAAAGTTTATTTTCATAGCTTTGTTTAATTTAGGCAGCTCTATGCTTTAGAAGTTAACATTAGTTTAAAATGCTGATTGCATGTAAATTGAAGAGCTAACTACAGAGACAGTTTCAAGTAAGAGACTTAACAAGATAGCTTTTATCTATACCTTGAGTTAAGTGGACCAAGCTCATTATCTACAGTGAGCCCAGTATTGCATATGTTCTTTCCAGCGGAATGAATTTACGTTTTGGCTGACAAGATTAACTACAGTGCTTTCTGCAAAGCTCATCATATCTTCAACTAGCTTATCTATTCTATTAGACAATGATTTGCCTCACTGAACTGAACCACTGAGCCAAGCCTCCCCAGTTATAGAAGATTGGATTTTAACAAAGGAGATGAGGGCTATACACATAAGTCCTCCACATTCACAGGAGCAACAAATACTCACATCGGGAAGCTGAATTCACACATATCACTATTACAAATCGTGCTCCTGCCGAAAGTACAGTCATTGCCCTGCTCTCTCTAATGATTCTTGGGTGACTCTTGCCCATTAAAATAGTCTGGGATAATCAATTTACAATTGGGAATGATATGCAAGTGGCTTTGATTCCTTCAGTAGTGTAAATTTATTGGCATTGAATCAGATAATAAAGGTTTATAATGTATCATTCTGATAATTTCTATGAGGTTTTAAAAAGTTGCCCAATCTTTCTCTAAAGTAAGAACTCTAAAAAACTTGGTAGCATGGTTATACCTAAATACAAGAGAAGCTGGGAAATATAGTATTTATTCTGGGGATGAAGGGTGCTCTAGGTCTACCTGAAAATGCTATTATTGTGAGAGGAAATATTAAGGAACAGAAGGGTAGGCTCAGGCAGAGGCCAATGAGGCATTTGTCTCAGACAGAAAATTTAGTTACCAAAACCTTAGTAATCCAGGTAAGCATTTGAATGTAAATGTTTTTATCGATTGTAACTATCCATCAACTTGATGATGGATATTGAAAATGGAGGAGGCCATGTGGGGGGCAGAGGACACATGAGAAATCTGTACCCTTTGCTTAATTTGGCTGTGAACCTGAAATTGCTCTATAAAATAAAGTCTACTTTAAAAAAGTACAGTCAAACCCACCAGTTTGATATGGTTAGAGAAAGAATCCTGTCCTGGGACTGGGGGTTTAGCTCAGTGGCAAAAGCGCCTGCCTGGCAAGCACAAGGTCATGAGTTCGGTTCCCGGTACCGGAGAAAAACCAAAAAAAAAAAAAAAAAAAAAGAAAGAATCCTGTTCTTACCAGCCGCTGACTACCACAATTTCTATAGCAATTTTAGTTTAGGTCAAAAGAGTAAGACGTTTACATATCAACTTTATGAATTACCAAATACAGTGCAAGTCAGTTAAAATTAGATGTGGAAATCCAACCAGATAGAATAAAGAAGAAATAGAAGTAGATCTGCTCATTTTTTTTTTTTTTTGGATTGATTTAATTGTAGAGACTTCTGCAGAGCTAAGCTAAGCCATTCTTCTCAACTTCTTATTTTAAGGAGTCCTTTGAACACAACAATTTAATTTAATATTTCTATGTCAAATGTTATGGCTTATATCTAGATGCCTCCCCCTGCAAGCCTTATGTGGTCATGGGGGGGAGTTTTGAAGGAGTGTGAATGTGGATTAAAGAAGTGATACTGGAATTAAGGGGTGGATAATGGAAGCCCCACCCTACCCATGAGTAACACTACAGCCTAGATGGAATATAAAGGGAAAGGGAGAAAGCCTCTGCTTGCTGCCTCCTGCTTACCATGAACTGATTCTCTTCTGTGAGGACCCTCTGCTATGCCACCCTGCCTTGAAGCCAGCCAACTATGGACTGAAGATTGTACAAACTGTGAGCTGAAATAAACCTTTCTTTGAGTATTGGGTATTTTGTCTCAGTAATGAGAAAAGTAGACACAAATTATAGTGATACTTTCCACTTTTGTTATATTTTCCTTTTAGTTTCTATAAAATAAATATAATAAAAATCTCAAAAAGTGATTTATTTTTCTTGTGATTCTAAGAAGAAAGAGGTTTTTTTATATAGCAATATTTTAACATAAGCAAGGAAGTGCTAGTTAAGGAGAACACCAGAATAGGAAAATATTTATAAAAAGAGAATTGATTTAAATATAAAATATAGACAATAGTTATTTAAGACCTTTCTCTCATCAAAAGTCATAATGAGAAATTTTCTAGTGGCACTAAACTGATTTAATTCAAATTACTATTTTAATTATTTATGCATAAATATAAAAAATAGTACGACATTTGAATATTTCTAAAAGGTCCAAAATCGTTCTCTTGTATTCACAGAACTGATGAATATAAGGATAATATAACTTTTTTGAATTACAGGCTTAAAATTATTAGGATTTGTGATATTTTTGTTTACAAAAGTTTCTTTTAGCTCCTATTTTTCATAATGTCTTTCTATGAAAAAGTATTTTACCATGACTATATTAAAGGATGTTATAGTTGTCCTAAAATGGGGCTATTTCTACCCTGTCAGCCCCTTAGTTGATTTTTCTTAATTCCACGTGCTTTCTTAAGCAGAATTATAATGAGATGGAAGAAAGTTCCCTGCAAAAGAAGGAGCAACATGGAATTTTGATTTCAATATGAGTAGGAGTCCTTGGTAGCTTCACATTTTGGGAAGACCTTCCTTCTAAGCTTCTAAATACATTTTCTTTGGCTTAAAGGAGGAATACTAGAAATCAGTTGGCAAACAGTATAAGAAACAAGAAAAAGAATGGTAGAAAAAATGTTAAGGTTAAAAGAGAAAGTGTTCCTAAGCATATGTGAAAGGGTATTATAAGTATGTTCATAAACAAAGAGAATTATTGCTTTCATCCTTTTTTCATTGATGGTGTTTTACTTTACCTTTCTTCAAGAAAAGTTGGAATTATCTAAAAGGTGATCAAATTGAAAGAGAAATGTTAAATAATATTAGTACTATTTCCCTCCTGGCTTTGTCCAAAATGTACAGTGGATGAGCAAGATTCAGATCACAGCAGAACTCAAAGGCCCTCGTCGGAAAAGAAGTAAATATTCGCTCTGGAATTGGAATTTAATTATCTTTTCTAATAATTCTCTTCAATATAGTTATTATTAAGTAAACATTCCAAGGCTATAAGTTTATAAAAATCATATAGAGTGGCATACTTATTATTAACATAAATCCTTGCCTTTTGCAATATGTAGGGAATAGTAGCCAGAGAAGCAACTTAGTAAACCATGCTCTGATTTTAGAGTAAACACAGGAAAATGGTAAGAGATGTTACAGGAAAGCTTTGGGAGGAAAGGAAGGAAGCAAAATTGGAATCATTGAAATTCAAATTAAACTCATTGTGAAGGTTTAAAATAGAAAACTCTAACTGACACCAGGAGAGCAGCTGTAACCTCAAGTTAAAATCCACAAATCGGTAGAGATACTTCAGAAAAGATCTATTAGGAAACAACCTAAAACATCTTCCTACATGAGTAAACTAGGTGTTATCCAAAGATGACCATGTGATTTTCATTACACTGTATAAGCATCATTCTTCAGAGAAGGTTCATATTCATCAGAGAGCTGTAACCAGTAACTTGGTACACTTCCATCTCCCTCGCATTTTAAGAACTGTTAGCTGAGGAAGGTGGCATAATAAGAAATGGGATGTTATTTCTGACAGCAAAGAGATGGTCATGGGATTCTTACCTGCCCCCCTTTAGGTTGGTATTTAATGTTGTCTGTCGATCCGATTTTGGATTTGACATTCTTCAGGTCTGGCAGTGGTTGGTTAATAAGACGAAGCTGCTTGGGAGTAGCAGGTGATTTGGGAGGAGTACGAATGATGGCGACTTTCTTCTCACTGGGCACCAAGATGGCGGATTTGGGGGTTCCTGGTGTGTGAGGGGTCCTGGGGAAGCTGGGGGTTCCAGGAGTGCCTGGAGTGCGTGAAGAATAACTTGGCGGGGTACCAGGAGTGATGGCAGTTGATCCAGGGGTGGTAGGTGTTGAGGTGCCACTTTTCCCTGCTCTGCGAATTGGCTCTGACCCTGTATTAATAAAGGAGTGAGACAAACACAAAACAACAGTATTAGAGAGTTCTCCTTAAGGTACCATTCTACGGGGGCTGGGGATTTTGCTCAGCAGCACAGTGCCTGCCTGGCAAGCACAAGGTAGTGAGTTCGATTCCTGGTACCGGAAAAAAAACAAAAACACCAAAAATGTCTCAGAGGAACAT